CCAGACCCTGCTTACGGATCCTGTCCTGCACTGCCCCCTGTGCTGGTACTACTATTGCAGGACCAGGATCAAGGTTAAACCAGTGTCCAAACTGAGTTCATGCTACTTCTCTGGATGGATTTTCTAATGTAATTTTATTTTTTTAAAACATAGACTCGTTTCCAAATCAGGTTCTACAGGTAGCCGTGGGAATGGCTGGGCTACACAACGGGTATAGGAGCAGAGGAACCGGGGAGGAGCTGCTGTAACAGCACCGTCCCCAAAGAAACATTCAGACTAGACCCTGCCTAGTCAAGGGGTAGTCTTGATGCTGCTCAGATGAAGACTTGTGTCACCTGCTGACAGAGGCAAATACCCCTTTGGTGGAACAGGTGTCATCATATAAATTTAAGTCAAAGAGTAGTCAAGGGGATAATGAGCTATGGCTACTCCTTTGGTGATGCAGGCTGTGGCTTCCACAGCAGCTTAAACCAGACGCAGGGCAATCCCATTTCCCTCTTCCCTCCTTTATGCCAGCACTAGGGCCGATTTGATTCTACAGTGAGCAGATTCAGGTCACTAATCCAACAGAGAACTGAACCAAACAAAACCATGTTTTCCATCAGTTTAGTAAACAGAACAGCTCATTACAAATGTAAATGAGCACCGGTGCTGGCTGAAGGGAGAGGGCGGACATAGCTGGGATCAAAACAGGGAGGAGGACGAGCGTACCTGCAAACATCACAGCAACATCAGATGTCACCCAAAGGAATTCCCATTCCTGACCACACAATCCCAGTCCGTGCACATTTATGCCATGTTTCTCCATCCACAACTACCAAGTTTGACTCTCTAACTTGAGAGAGGGTTGCTTTCTAGTCTAAGGAATCTCATAAAGGATTAAATACCTTATGTTCACAACTCTCTATGCCAGTGGATGTCACAAGAGGCAGTTTTCTGGGAAAGAATACAAACAGATATAATTTGCTGGCACAAAAATCACAACTTGGTTTGTGTCCTAATCTGCACAGCATATTATGCCACTAAAGCCTTAGCTAGGAAACTTTACTCCAGAGGCTTGTGGTTCAACGTATATTATATCAGCTAAGCCATGATGAGTTGCACAGCAAGGCCGTGCAGTGCATCTGCAGTGCCAGGAAGCTCAGCTATGGCTGACAGGTTCTAAAAATGACCGGGAGAAAAATACTAACCCAAAAAATGGAAGCACACACTTCTTCGTAGATGACTCAATTCTGCCAAACAGTTAGCTGGATTTTGACTTAGTGAACTGGGTCTATTTATTCACCAGGTTTACAGTCAAGTACATTACAGTTTCCATATTTAAAATCGTAGCACAGAATTTTCATAGATGATGGTGACACAGGTAAGACTACTACTAGAGAAAAGATTACTATGCTAAGAAAAGCTTGGTGAACAGCAGCAAATACTGCTATTAACTGAGGTTTTTGACAGCCATTTAAGAAATGCAAGTTTATCTGTACAGACATAGTACAAAGGACAGGAGAAAGTGGGGTTTTTTTTTTGTTTGTTTGGTTGGTTTTTTAAAGTGTGAGAATCATGATAAACAAACAAAAACCAGACACTTTTTAAAGCAGCTTCGCATAAGCATGTGATGATCCTTGTTTTAGTTTGAGCATGAGAGGTTTAAGTTCACTGTTCCAACGGATCCTGAACTACAGGATGTCTTGCATTGTTTCCAAATAGTTTAGGTTACAGCAAAACAAGAGGACAGAACAAATTGTTACTAGCAAGAACTGGCTGGAACAAGCTATGACAATTTAAGAACTTCCCATCTGAAAAAAGAAAAAAAATCACAGATTACAAAATGAAAAGCAATGCCCCTACCGTTATTACCCTGGTAGTGTAGGGTTTTTTCTAGAAGAAAACATGAATACTGTCATGGATACGCTTCACAAAACTTGATCTCATGAGCCAACAAGGCTGCTGTTTTGCAGAACTCAAAATAGCAGGCTTTGCTTCTGTGTCAGGGGAAAAAAACAGTAATGGGAAAGTTAATTTTTTTCTTCCTTCAGATGCCAGCAAGTTACAGATCTAGTTCTTTCACCTTACTTCCAACAATGTGCACTGAACCAAAATATTTCTTATTTGGTACACCTGGACATTGGCTTAATAAGAAACAGGACAGAGAAGGTAAAGAAGAATGCAGCATATTATTCCATGTCATTAAAATTCTGTAATATACCTACACGTACTTGCTCCACCTGAACTCTACCTCTCTGTGCTCAGACTGTCATCACTGGAGGCTTTACAGTGAAAAGGTATGGTCTAACATTGTGCATGACAAGTTGATTCAGTACCACATGTTGCTTACTTAAGAAGTATCTGAAATCCGAGAGAGGTTCATTACTGCCTGCCTTAACATCTCGTTTCCAGGATGAATACACAGACAGCTCCTGATGACCCACAGACTATTTATGTTAAGATTCCCTATTAAACTATTTCTGTCTGTAATACATGCCATCACTGCTTCTGGGGCCCCCTTGGGGGGTGGGGAGGTTGCTTATAAGAAATCCAGAAGCTTTTCACAGAGTCCAATAAATACTGATTTACCTAAGCTGACTGCATGTACTTGGCATTTGCATCCTTACACTCTAGACCACAAATAAAGAGCACTGGGAATGTAACGTGCACACAGTTATAAGGCTGTGTAGAGCCAGCCCGAGTTTAGTACAGCTAACACTGATCTGGGTCTAGTATGCGAGTAAGACTTGATCCAGTTCCTGCTTAACTGCTCGTACATTCACACTGTAACTGCATCTACCAGAGTTTTCAGCACTGGCACAACAAACCACAAATATATGGAGTGAGCCCAAGTCTGGTATCACTCTTGATAAGCTCCACCCAAACCAGAAGTGTTAGGATCATATCATGCATATCTAGTTTCTCTGCAAGTGCCAGGTTTGGAACAGCAGACGATACCAGGTACAGCTTAACACCAGCCGTGGCTGATATAATTTGGTTGCAGGTGCTATCTGCTCCAGGGTCTGAGGAATGTGATCATGTGTATGCGTAATACATGGGGTTTTCCCATTAGGTCAGGTATCCCCATCTGCATAGCTGTCTTTAACAACAAAAAGCTTTGACTGAAAATGAAAAATCCCCATCATTAGTATGAAAAGAGAACCATTAATTTTCACTACAGGACAAAACACTAGCAAAAATGGCATTTCAGTTGCTGCAATTTTAACTTTGCTTATTAAAAAAAAGATGCAACATTCGCAGTTAATATATTGTAGACAGCTTATTTCATCACCTCTGAACACAAGATGGAATGTTCTGCATTGCAAAAGCGTAAGGTATGAACAAACACCCATTGCTCTCAGAATCACCACCTGAGTTATACAATCACAGACAAGCTCCAAAATTTAGAATTAAAGGTGTTGCAGGGAGTTTTAATACTAAATACTATGCAAATATGCTCTAGTCATATGGCTCCCCAATTGTCATCTTCCTTTTTATTTGTTTTGTTCAAGAAGACATTAGTGAAGTTTTATATATGTAATTGAAGCTGATCAAGAAGAAAGTATTAGTGGATTATATTTTATGGCAGTGTAAATGATGACTTAAGTCTACTAAAATTCCAGGTTGTTATACAAAGGGAGTATTAGGAAGAAAGGTCCTAGGAAGTTTCAGAAACTCAGCTGTCACTTGGAACAACACAGACCTTTCCATTAGTATTTGTTCTGCCAATTATTGCACAAAACCGCACAGAATTCTTGGATAATCAACCCAAAACTAGAAGCAAGGGTGGCTTCATCTTATCATCTATACTACACTATCTGACATGAGGGAAGCTGAAATTTGGAGGCACTAATGGAAATTCAGAAGCTTTGTAAAGTCAACAATTCACAGTACATTTGAATCTCCTCAACTAAGTTATCACTTAAGGTTAGCATTATCTTTTATTAAAACCACCAAACACGGAATTGCATCTCCTTTACTACAACGAACTTGAAAAATACATATTCAAGGGGCTTTAACTGTAAAGCAAAAAGAAAAAAATTAAGCAATCCCAGTTTCGGATGACTTATGAGGCCTTCCCCAAAGGTCTCAAAAAAAATCAGAGAATTTTGGATTAATTAAAGCCAATATAGGAATAGCACAGCAGAGGAATGAAGGTAAGGAGCTAAGTTGTATTAGCCTGGCATTCTTCCAAGAAGACTCTCATGTCTACCCAACAGCTAAAAATGCCTAGTAATGTTCCCTTTCTCCTCAGTGTCTCCTCCCTCACAACTTCATCATCTCCCTTTTTGCTGCTGAGGCTGAAACCTCTTCAACTGCAGCAAAACAAAAATGCATTTTTCTTCACCTTGACTCAAGTTTTTGCAGTCTTTTCTCCTAACCCAGAACCTTTGAAAGAGCAAGCGGAATCGCTTCCCAGAGACATTCTTGTTGATGGACTTTGTCTATTGGCCCCATCCAGCCCCAACATTGTTTCTGGCACTGCCCAAAGCCTCAAAACCAGGTAGCCAAAATCCAAAATACACTGCATATAGAATCTATTCCCCTAAATAAATGTTAGCTTCAGAGCTGTTTAATTATAGCAGATGTCCATTAAATTCACTACCTGCACCCCAAATAAATCAGTCTAAAGGAATGCACTGGGAATTGCAGCTCAAGTTTTTTCCTTCAACTTTTGTCCTAGATCCTCATGCAAACCTGAGCAAGTATTAAGATCTTCTTAATTTCCCCACAATTAAACCAGTAATGTTATAAGCCTTTCAACATCAAGGCAAGAAGAGAATGCATGTAAATGTAAGAATTATCTCAAGACACACTCACCACATAATCTGATAGAAAACTTTACACTAGAAGCCAAATAGCTCATATGAAAAATACAGCAGAGTATAAAATTTCTCTTACAATACAACTAAAAGGCAAGCAATCATCACAGAAACATTCAAAGTCATCAAGCATTGTGATGAGAATTCCATAGAACTGAAAGTTTAAAAAATTACATTAAAAGGAGACACCAAGTATTTCAAAAACCTCTGTTTTATTTGTACAGAGTAAAATACATCATATAGCGAACATTGTTTTCCACCCATAATCTAAAGCCATTAGTAAGTGTTTTCTTTTCACCAAATATCCTGGCCAGAAGCACAGACAATGGAAATGAGAATGCTAATTAGTCTCTCTCTGCCAGAGCTACAAGGTGCACATCAATCTCTGCTTCTGTAAGGATCCTGAAAGAACAAAAAGAAATCTTAAATAGCTTAAATGATTCTTCCCCTTAAGCTCCAATATTATAACCTAGTATCTACACAAATAAGTTTTATACAATGTATCTTTCAGCCCTTTAAAGCCCTGCTGCCAGGGCCACAGGCCAACATTCCAATTCTTTTTGAAAAATAAAGGAAGAATCGAAGGCACTAGAAAGCAAAGAGGTAACAAATGGTAGAAAAAGAACAGGTAATTCCTCATGAGTAATATATTTGCAAGCTGGGACCTGGTGAGAAGAATGGGTATGGTAATTAGTATGATTACTCCAAGGGGGACACAGGTTTTCATAGCCTTATCCCTCTGCTACCGGACATACGACCGGTAAATGAAGTTTGGCAGAAAGCTAGCACTTGACCCTTGAACAGCAGTAGAAAAGGGGTAATGCAGCTGCTGCATGCTTTCTCAAAAATGCTAGGCTATTCTGTTGTCCTAAACACACACCACCAAATTCAAAACCACCCATCATCACCATATCAAGTTGAAACACATTAGGATGCACTCAAAAGACTGCACCTGTAGGACCCAAAGGTTTGAACCTCTCTCCAATCCCCACCTACCAAGTACCTAGACTAAAGCAGCAGAGGACTTTTCTTTCCCACCTAGCTGTTCCTCTCTTTCTTTTTTTTTTTTTTAAAATAAAAAAAAAGTAATGAGAGACTAAGGCAGAAATAACCGAACTCCTCTGCAGCAAGCTAGCCTTAACTAACTTTTAGGTAAGACATACCTGGAGGGTCCTTTTGCATTAACAATAAAAACCCAAAACTTTTCTCCCACATTTCATGCATACTTCTGCAGCTATACATTGTGTTGAGAAGGCTGTCAAGGACACTGTATCTGATTGCAGGAAGATTTCCAGTTGTTGTCTTGATAGATTGACCAAGTAATCTTGCTGCACACAGCGTGCTGCACTCAGATTCAGGAAATAACGGGGGAGGGAGGAAATTGCAGGAGTCTTGCTTTCATGCTAGGTGGGAATGCAGTGTACTCAGAAAATAAAAGTTCAGCCAGTTCCAAATCACTGCAGTGATTTTTAAATCCAGGATCTTTTAATCTTGTCGAATTTAAATACAGTATTTCAGATCATACAAATTCATAATCTATTAACCATATACTGGAGATGTTAAAAACTGCTACAATTACAAGATGAGCAAGAGTCATTTAAAGATCCATTTCAAAAAAGATTTAAAAAATTAAGAGACTTGCAAAATTTTCCCTAATATAAAACAGACTTTACTGCATTAGTTGCCATGACTATGATTTGGAAGTGGACTCCAGATACTAGCACAAAGGAAAATTTTTATTCTTTTAAGCACGAAAAATCATCTAGACCAGATGTAACTACATTTTAATCATCACATAAAGCAATACCCTTTTAAGAAACAAAAGACAACACTTTTCTGTATTGGATCCCTTTCAACATTTTAAACATGGTTTAAAACATTTTAAAACTGGTTAAGGTACTATTTTTTTCTAAACAGTGTCTTTTACCCCTACATATTTTGAAGAGTTACAAGTGAAAAAAAAAAACCTCCAAAACTTCAACTTCTGACATTTATATCTTTTTCTTGATTTACCGTTACACAAGAAGTTAAAACTTATCAGAGAAAAAACTTACTAGCACGTAACAGAGAAACACACTCCAAGATTTATCAACACTGACCACTTACCTGAATTTAGGATTTTCCACTGTAACTACACCAACTTCTATTTCTGAAGGTTTGAAATCAATGGATAGTACAGTAGACAGGCATGTTATTGCTGTCTGAAAGATGACAAAAGAAACCTATCATTAAACAGAAAGCACTAAGGCTTTTTTTTTTTTAAATAGACATAGCATTAACAACTACCCTTCCTTCTAGTTTTAAGTTATTTCCTTCCACCTCAAAACCTCAGCTGAAAAGTTTCAAATAGTTTCCCCTTGTTACAGAATACAGTCCCTCTCTGGTCCTCTCCCTAAAAAGCCCAATCTACAAAAAACAAAGGGACATGTAATTTTCATAGCTGAAAAAAACACAACAAAGCCAAAACTTTTTATCATGCAAAAATTAAAACCCCAGGTTCCAAGGTCAGAACATGTTTCATTAGTGGCAAAAGAGACAGACATCATCATTACAGTCCAAGATTACTCAAAGCACTTGTCACTTGCATAGCTTCCATTTTGGCATTTCTTCTGGTAATTAAAATTACGTTGGCTGTTTTTAAAAGCTGCATTTCATCATGGCTTAACTTATTTTTTTTCCACCCTAATCATCACCTTTTTAAAAGGTCTTCTTTGCAGCCTCACTCATACTTAACCCTGCAGTAGGGTCATAATAACGCTAAAGATGAATTCCTAAAATTATGATTGAGCACAAAAAGAAGTTCCATAAAACAGCTATGTAGCCAAATTCTTATCCAATCAGTTATTTTCACATGCTGGCATTTAATTCTGATCAGTAATGTGTTAGGAAGTGTAGAACATCAGACAAGACTTTTCTAAAGTTTATTTTCAGTATGTTGATAATACATTGATTCTGCAATAATTCTATAAGACTATATAGATGTCTTATCAGAAGACTGCCAAGATGTAAAAAAACCCACCCAAACAAACAAACAAAAAACCCCACCCAACAAGAAAACCCAAAACTCTTACCCATGGAGCATTACCTCTAAGGCACCACAAGCTTTTAAAAAAAAAGCTTGCGCGCTGTGTGTGCGTGCGTGTGTGTGACAGACTTGCTTCTCCCTGTCACTGCCGACTTTTAGAGTAACAGTGTCTGATCTACATTCACAACCTCAGCATTTTAACAAAGACAACAGAAAGGTATAGAAGCGCATCCAGGATTTGACTGGTAGATTAATTACCAATTAAGTATTTGCACCATACCATGGAAGTTTTATGAATTAAAAACAAGGATATGAAAAGACTGTTTCATCTACCTCCAAGTGCTCAACTAAGAGACATGCACAGTATAATCAAGCAGTGATAGAAAAATACATTTAACATGAAAATTATTTAGCCAGGATAAAAAAGGGTCTCTGAGGGAATTTCAAGTACATTCAATTTCAGTATGCTATGATTATTCAACCCTCTCAGGATCTTCTCTTTAAAGGAATCACATACTAAGGAAATCAGTACTTATTAAGATACACATATAAAACTTATTAATTTATGCTGAAGAACTTTCCGTTTAAATGGTACTTCCATGATAAGGTAGACTTCAGAAGTAACTTAGCTGTAGGTCTGAATCTGCATAGCGTTCACATGGATCTTAATACAATACTCTGTTTAACAATCTTACAGAGCGGTCAATTTCTCAGGTTATTATTCCTCATTTCACCTGCTGATCTTGTGATGCAGGAAACACAACATTATGATTCTAAGAACAAGGCCTGGCAGCAGAAACAGGTGGGCCATGGAAGAGGAATGTTTAGACAGATCTGTACAGTGTAAGTGAAAAAGTAAGGATGATTACAAAATAAGTTAATTGACCTATATTATAAATAGGATACATTTTTATAATGGGCCTTGAACAACAGTTTTCACAGTAGGCATAACAACTGGTGCTATATTTACTAAACTGACAGACAAGCACTACCCTGTCCTGTTTGAAATGCATTCTAACATGAAGGTTGTTTTAAGTGCCACTAAAAGAAAATTGTACCGGTATCCCCAGAATCAAGCACTGTAGTAAGCAACCACCAGCTACAGTGGGATTGCTACAATTACAAGTTCTGCTTCAGCTAATGTAAAGCAGAAAAAGCAAATTAGATGACTATTTAAACACCTGCAAAATAAAAACATTTTCTGGTTGGAATAGCTATACTTGCTCTGGCAGCAATTCAGAACTGTAAGAAAACAGGAAATGCCTAACTGCATTCCTCTATATCACAAGCCTGCATACACCATATTCATTAAAAATACTTTAACAAATCTTTATTTCCCTCTGCTGGCCTACCTCTACTGTTTGTTCGTATGTCCAATCAAATTTCTTCTTTACTTTCTTTTCAAGAAAACTGGTTGACTCTGTCTGTTTAACTCCTGCAGCTGTGGCCTTGAATCCACAATAGTAACCTGCTGGATCACACTTGTATACCTGAGGGCCGTGTTCTTCATCAATACCAATCAAAATCATACCTTGAAGAGAAAATTTGTTAATTTATTTCTTTCCCCAATTTTAGCAATTTCATTCAACTGAAGAATAGAATTGATACTCCTCTCCCGTGAAACACGTGCATGCACAGCACTACACTTTCAGGAACCAGTCCAATACCTAGAGCTGGGATTTCCTCTATCTCTAATTCGCCATTTCTTACCAGCATCTCATTACCAGGTGCGCAACTCAGTTTAGTGCAGACTAAATTTCTATCATTCCCAAAGGCGGCTACTCATTAAATATAGAAACATTTTTGCCATGCTCAGAGTGTAAAGAACCACAAAGTCAGGAAATAAAAAAGTTTAATCCCGATACAAAGTTAACCCAGCCACAACTCACTTCCTATGTATTGTATAACACTTTAAAAGTGTAAACAATAGTTCTATTAACATGTGCCTTTTACCAGAAAGCAACTCTGCAAATACGTTGAAATTAATGGAAATATTAAAAGATCAACTTTAGATTTCTCAACTGTAATCCTGAAAAGCACTGCATTACATCCCTTTTCCTCTTTTCTTTAAAGGAAAAAAAAAAAAAATGAAATGAAATGTGGAAATAGCAGAACATAAAACTGAGTCTTTGAAGTTGGGCTTTCACGTTGAACCGACTTCAAGTAACACAAACTGGTCACATCGCTGAAATGCATCTGTGTTCACCCACATTTCTAGATTTACAGTTGTATAGTCTCAATATGCATATTAAAAATAACTCGAAAGCAATACTGGCAAAAAACCCCAAAGCCAAAACAGAACAAGGTCAAGGTTTTAAATCATTTTCTCTTTACACTTGCATAACTCTTAACTAGTAGTTATAGCTGATAAGCTTCTGAGCAGCTATTACTACAACAGAAAAAAAAATTTCCCATTATCTTTTCAAAAAAAGTTAAGGAAAGTTAAGAAAAATACATTTTTATTCATGTATTAAAAAAGAAAAATCACTTTCCAGTAGTATCAAGGCATGGGAAATGCCAAGGGAAGAAAGAAACAATCATTCCTGAACATTACAAGCATACAAGCATTGGAAAATTGCCCCATCATGGAAACTGTGGTGCAACCCTGAATGTTACTTCTTTAGTGAGAAGTGCTAGTGCCTACTATGATTACGAGAAGTGATTCATCAATTCTGAAACTATTCTCCTTAAAAGAAAAAAAAAAAAAAGGCAAACAAAAAGAAACCCAGATAGAATGTTTAATGAAAAAGTAATTGAGTAAACATTAAGTCTTTTATCTCAGTTCCCGGATGGCCTAACAGTATGGTTATAATTTGCTCAAGAGAAATTTTTCAAGAGAAAAAACAAGTCAGAACCAGCCTCAGAACACAGAGATGACCAGGAATATCTGCAAAAAACAACTTCATACACATCTTTTTTTACCTAAGCTGCATTTGCTGTTATAAAACAAGACTGGTACAGAAATGCTTGCAAGTGAAATATTTTTAAGTGCTACTTCTCTACTTTATATGTATCACAGTTAAGTTAAGAGCAAAAATTATGCACGTTTTTGTCCTATACATACTACTTAGATAAAAAAGCCACAAAATCTGCACAGGCATAACTGCACTCTCCGTATGTCTGTTTTAACAGTGATATTTACCCAGATACAGACACTGGTAAAAAGAGCATCTCCCATTCACAGACATCACTGTGCAGTGCAAACAGACTAGGCCACAAAAACTAAGGTGAAATAGTATCACACGTTTTAAAGATTCAAATGCTGAGTCAATGGTAAAATCATGGCTCCAATTCAAGACTTGCAACACTGCGCTCTCATTTGGCTGTTCATCACTCTTACTCCTTCAGTTACATCCATACCTCACACAATTTGAAAATGGGTGACAATTTCTTATACTTGAAGTTGCAAACTTAGACAAGAAACAGAAAAGATGAATTTAATACACTATACTTACAACAACCAAGAGGCCTCATTTCAGCATTTTGCGTATAGACCTGAGAAATATCTGCAATCCTTTTACACAGCATATCCACAGGGATGTCATAGCCATACTTGTACTTCCAGTTAGCAGCCTCATAGCGGGCTCTCTGCACCTGAGATCTGCTGTCAGCTAGACAAAAAGAACATTAATTTCACTGAACACGTACCACGTTTATTCCTAGCATTGCTTGAGAATGCAAATTCCAGGCCCAACTTTAAGTTGTCTTTAAATATACACATCAGAACTAGACAAGTTTGCCAAAACCAGACTGAGTGGAACAAATCTGCTAGGGCACTTATTTGTTTTATGTGATGCAAAGCTGGCGAACTACATAAAAAATCTGGCACACTTCAGATACTTAAAAAGATGGTGAATTAAATACCTGTCATTCCTGTCATCACACAGCCAATATTTTCAGTAATTCTGAATAAATGAGTCACTGTGTTGGAATCCAATAACTTGTCCTAAAGAGGAAATAGAAATAATCTAATAGAAATCACCGTCCTTCAAGTACAAAGAAAAGATAGACTCTGGATGTTCTCGTATCTACAGAAGAGCCCCAAAGAATCAACTAACAGCTAAAAATTGTCTTTCAGGCTCTCCACTATTTACTGCTATAGGCATGCGAAGGAAGAAAGAGGAAAATAGGGAAGATAAAAAACTACAATATCTGGAAAAGGATGAAAGCTTGAGCATGACCAACATCAAAGTCCTTCTCCCTCTGATGAAACTTTGAGAACACACATACAAAAACTTGTGCTTTCATTGCATGCTGTCCTTCAAACACAAAAGTTTTCCCCCTTGTCAACAATACATCACCACTGTGCTGAAACACTCATGAAAATCTGTTCTGCATGCTATTGGTATAACATTTTCTGAGTAGGAATTAAAGAAATCGGGAAACTGATTATGGACAGCTCAGCCCTTACAAGCCAGAGCAATGCATGCATGCCAAAGTACAGCAGGACCAACTTCGTATTTTAGCTTTATCCCTTCGACAACTACAGAGAAAACCAGTATTACAGTACTTGGCGAGGAAACGTACAATTGAGCACTAAACAGAACTAGAACTTGCAATAAGCAGAACTATAATAAGATATTTGATTCAAACAGCAATATATGTCAATGCTGATAAATATAATACTGACGTTGCAAAGTCTCACCCCCACCTTTTTTCTCATCTCCTTCCAGCTTCCCCCTCAAAAACAGACTACTTACAGGTACTTTCTTCTGTGTTACAATTACTGCAGAATCTTTCCCACGAACAGCTACAGACGTAAGTCCGCCTTGGTTTATGGCCTTAAAAGCATATTCTAGAAAAATATGTAAAAGTTAATAAAAAACAATGTTAGAGATATTAGTACAAAAAACTCTGACACACCTCTCCCCAACACAGAAATCTCACCAAGTTCTGGCCTTTTTAATACTTTAATATTTGTGCAATATTTTGCGTCGTCACGTCTTTAGTACAATGCACACAAGAACTTTCTGACGGGAGTTAAGTCATTGACTCTCCACGAAACCACTATCACTGCTTCCTTCAAATATTTCCAATAGTTTGCCTTTTTTTCAGTTAGAATGCTTAACAGCAACAGAATTTGTTTTAAAACAAGAAGGCTGTTCTGCACTTGACCAAAATGGTCCAACCTTAACCTACAGTAACTGTAAATCCTTAAATAAGATTTTTTTAACATGCAGAGGTTTTGTATTTCAAGCATTATTATCACTGCAAGGAAGTAATTTTCTTTTGTAGATTTTAACTGATACAGGTGAAAACTGAAATGATGGACCAGGCACAGAAGATGGGTTTTAACCTTACTATCACATTTTCTGACTTGGCGTTCAAACACTGCAATGCTTTTATTAACTTTTTAAAATGAAACCTATGCACATGCCAATTATTCAGTTAAATGTAACGGATTAAGATTTACTTGATATGATCCATGAAATAAATTTCCCTTGATTAATGGTTTCAAAAGCCTCAAGAAAAACAACTTTAAAAAACATTTATCTGGCAACGTGTGATAAACATTCAGAACCTCCTAATATCTGGTTGGGAGAGGGAAGTTTCAGACACTAGCTAAATGTAGATTAATTTTTTGTTAGTTATGTGATTAAGACTGGAATTTAGAACATGTCTAACCAACAGCACAGCAAATTGCTAAAACTATCTTCTAAAATAACAGGAGCAAGAAACTCAGCTGTTTTAAAAGGTGCATTCAAATCTATGGAAGAGACTGCACAACAGGAGAGGAATAATCTGAAAATGAAAACACGCATCTTGCAAAACCAGGATCTTGATGTTCAATATGCTGAGCCAGTGTTGTGGAAGGGCTGATTGCCATGTATTTACGGCACTGTATTTATTACTCTTGGGCATCAGAACATTTACTGGTTACCCAAACATGCCATAAAGAATGTTCCTTCTTTCTCTCCGCTAAATGCACAACTTCACTCGTCTCTTCACTTACCTTCCCTGGGATGATCAGTGCTAGCCTGCAGCAAAGCACAGAACCCAGTGAGACATGAGCTAGCACTGTGCACAAACTGGTCATGTTTGAAGCCCCAGGCCAGGGTTCTGTCACACTTGTTTATTTATGTGTACAAATAGCTGAAGGAAGGGTGTAAAGAAGACGGACAGAGTCAGGCTCTTTTCAGTGGTGCCCAGTGACAGGACCAGGGGCAATGAGCACAAACTGAAACACAGGGGCGTCCGTCTGAACATCACTTTTTTACTGTGGGAGTGACCGACAGCTGTCACAGGTTGCCCAAAGAGGTTGTGGAGTCTCCCTCTTTGGAGATATTCAAAAGCTGTCTGGATCTGGTCCTGGGCAACCTGCTCTAGGTGGCCCTGCTTGAGCAAGGGGTTGGACCAGATGACCTCTAGAGGTTCCTTTCAACCTCAACCGTTCTGTGGTTCTGTGACATTTAGGTGGGAAGAGGAATAGGTGCCTTCGCAAACAGTTTTTGCTCACAAGTACTGACAACCAGGCTTCCTGAACTGCAGTCTCTTCTTGCCCTGTTCCTATTACCATCTGCAATACTCAGTTTTCAAAGAGACAAGCCAAAAAGTGTAGGGGCTCTTACAGGGCTCCAAATGCATATATTGCTAGTGATGTTTAAGTCTATTTTCTGCTATGCAAGTATTTCAGCAGTACTGCACACACATTCTTTCCGAAAACAGTGTTCCCTTGCTGTTCCCCAAATATGTCAGAACAATCAGAAATTTGAACATAATCATTTTCTTCACCTCTCAAAACTCCACTTAGATGAAACATCACTTCTGAAGACTGGAACTAATAGGTGGCAAGACAACACTGATACTCTGAAGGATTTTAACCACAGCAACAAGAAATATATATGAAATAACTGTTACTTTTCTAATATGAGATTACTTCAAAGGCACAAGAGCTTTTTGAACTTCGGAAGCAGAAGGCAGATCTAAGGCAAAGCACAGGCATTTCAGTCCAATATCACTACACTGGAAATCCCTGTTCAGTGTTTCCAGAAAATCTTCCAGAAAAACCTCATGTCTTAAGGCAGCCTTAAAGCAACACGTGTCCATACCCATCCGTTACAGCACCTAGTTGATCTGCATCCAGCACATGGACAAGGATGTACAGGACTGAAAAAGAATGAAAGAAAGAAAGAAAGAAGCTAGGTTCGGATATTTGACCACAAGCAAACAAGAGCTTTCGGACCATGCTGTGGCTAGATGCTGGCCAACAGAGACACTGGTGTGGCACCATGCCTGAGTTATCAGCCTGGCTGCGGGCAGAGTGAGCTCATACTTGCTTGAAGTTAACTATGCACACCTACGTATTTTTCTTCCCATAGCATATAGGTACTCAAAATATCTTTAAGACAGCTTCAGCTCTGTGCAGAGGCTCTCAAATACACATGCAGATACTTGATTCTAAGAGATGGGTAAAAGATACAGAACTACTGCACATTTCTCACACTTTAACCTAATGGTTGAATATACTCAGGAGGTAGAAAACCAAGGCTCAGTTTCCTCTTTGCTACAGGATGCAGAAACCACTCCCAAAAAGTAGTACTGTAACAGAGAAACAGCCAGAAAGGTGATGTAGACCAACCAGCCTGTTTTAATGGCAACAGGTCAGAACCCATGACTCTTCCGTCACAGAGCCACTGACACCCTGTGTGAGGAACTGCTGTCCCTACCATCCATATGTATAAGGCTTACTACTACGCAAATTGCATACAAGCCTTATACACACTCCAGGTATAAGACAGCACCCATATGTAGGTATCTAGTACAAGTAACTTTCTACCTGCGTATAGACACCTACACACAGGCACTTTCCTAGTGGCTCCTTGGAGAAAGGACTGCTTGAGACTGGGCCGCCTGCCCATGAAGCCTATTCCACATAGCCTTCTTCCTGAGAAAAACTCAAGGGCAGAAACAAAAGAAACTACTGGCTACCATGGACAATTCATGCAGTCTGGTCCCAGCAACCTCCTTTCCTGGAGAACAGATAGATGTATGGGCACGCTGTGCAATGCACGTGCAGTGAAGCCACTGCAGCTGGGGAAGAGCCACTTCCAGTGGAAGATGGCATCGGGATGATGCTGCCAAAACAATTCATCTGGCCCTGTTGTGAGGATCCTGCAGGAGCACTCTCAATGAACTGTCCTGCCAGACTGCGAGCGGACTATGCTGTTATAGAGCGTTCTGCAGAAGGAGCACCATGAGGCTCTTCTGCAGAATCTGGTGCACTGTAAAAATAAGAATAAAAGATGCAGTGGCCTACAGAAGAAGATGAAGCTAGGCTTAATTGCAGAATGTTTTGGTAGGGCCTGTAGCAACAGGACAAGGAGTAATGGTTTTAAACTAAAAGAGGGTAGATTCAGGCTAGATAAAAGGAAGAAATTTTTTACAATGAGGGTGGTGAAACCTTGGACCAGGTTGCCAAGGGAGATAGTAGATGCCCCATCCTTGGACACATTCAAGGTCAGGTTGGACGGGGCTCTGAGCAACCTGATCTAGTTGAAGATGCCCCTGCTCATTGCAGCGGGGGTGGACTAGATGACCTTTAAAGGTCCCTTCCAACCCAAACTATTCTATGACTCTAAGCCTGGAAATAAAGGATCGTTGCTGCTATCTCACAGGCCATGATGTACAGAACACATGGCATTCAGGTGTAACAAGAGAAAGCACGGGTTACCTTCAAAAACTGACTTTGTTACTCTGGCATGCAGTGTTTGAGGCCGTTCAAGACCCACTTCAAACAGCTATTGTAGTTCTTAGATTCCAAAGCACAATACTCATAAGTTTGGCAAGATAAACTGAAAGAAACACTTCAGGGGGAATAAACAGCTTCTGGGTAACCGTTAGTCTGGTCTTCAAGCATCTGAAATCAAACACCGGGAAACCACAGGAAGTGCCTCCCCGTGGCAGGGGACACTGGAGGGGGCCTACCCTGGCTCTAAGCTTTCCTTATCTCATGGAGAATCCCTTTCCCAGGCCCCCACGCCGGTAGGACCGGGACCGCAGCTGCTCCAGGCTTCTCCCCGCACACCGCGGGACGAGGCACGGCGGGAACCGAGACTCCCCGGCCA